GTTAACGTTAAACCAACACAATTACATTGTACTCCGGCGTTAGATATTCTTTCAGTGTTGGTGGTTGCATTCCGAAGTAGGAGGATATTTGATTTCCTCCGTTGTAGCAGCAATTGCAGTTTGTCAAAAACATGGCCAGGAGTACGATGGTCCCAACGTTGGAAAGCATGATTTTTTGTTGCATTTTGTAGGTCGTGAAACCCCACAATGTTTTCATGCGGCCAAAGTTCCATTCGACTCCCTGGCGCACACGACTCATGGCCGCATTGAAGGCTTCTTTTGCTTCATCCAAATTGTTGCCTTTGAAGCCGGAAATGATCCACTTCGAAATGGGATACGCTGGGTCTCCATAGATGAAATAGCCATCAAAAATGTCGGAATTTGCCTCGAAATACTCTTGGAGCTGGCTGACTCGCAACAAAGTCACGTCATGTCGGCTGCCCTCCAACGGACCAAAAAAATGAACGCACAAGCCATCCGGAGTCGTCAAACCCTGGAAGTTTAAGCAGTGCATTCGTTTGTGGCCTGAATAGATCCGCTTTTGCAAGTTCAAACCACCTGCACCACTCGAGCTTGCGCTGATACGACACGTTTCGATTTTTGTGCCGTCAGGAAATGCCCAGACATTGGACAGTGGGGAGCCCTTTGCATGGATAGCTGTGGCATATTGTTGAATTCGGGCACGCACAATGCGCTTGCTGCAATAAATGTGTTCCTTCCACTTCGAGTAGACCAAGTTCACCATGTGATTGAAAACACGACAGATTTGTTCGCGGGATCGACCGAACATTGGTACAAGGTGACAGGGTACCGAAGCCGTTTGAGCAGGATAGCCACTGCTTCGACCCCAACAACACGGTCGCGTGACGCCGTGATAACAACATTCGGCACACCAAGCAGCTCCGTCAAAAGAATAACCCCAGCAACGTCGAATCGGAACGAAAGTCGGGCGTCGACATCACGCATGTTGACGTCGAAACGAAGCGATGGAATGAGAGGACGTTCCACCGGGATTCCAAGTCCGTACTCCAAAAGCATTGTTGTTGTGGCGGGTCGCAGCTTTTTGCGCTTCGTCCACTTGTAAACACGCAGTGCAAGAATCGTTTCCTCCCTGTTCATGGCGACGACGATGGAAAAGAAGTGATGATCGATGGTATGATATTGATGTGGTAATGGCAGCCATTTTGCGAAATGTCCAAAACCGCCTTGCCGTTGCCGTTGCCGGATCCAAATCTGGTTCTATGGCAATGGCAATGGCACGTTTGCGAAATCTCCCTATTGCGTACGTCGACGACGCGGAATTCATCTGTCCGTCGAAAGAAGTCATGACCGAAATCACAGCCAAGGCGGTGCTAATCCTGGCCACATGGTTCCTCGAGGTGAAGATCGCCAAGTTGAAGCGGCGCAAGAGCTTGGCCAAGGCGGCGTTCAGCCACATGTGGAAAATTTGGATGCGGCGCAAGCTCGTCTCCGAGAGCAACCGCGCTCGGCTCTACAAGGCCTACGTGCTGCTGGTGCTTCTGTACAACTGTGGCACGTGGGCCCTGACTCCGACGCAGCTCGATGGCCTCGAAGCCTTCCACCGCCGCCAACTGCGGCAGCTGCTCGGCATCTTCTACCCGCACCGAATCCTCAAAGCCGACTTGTATGCTCGCTGCCACACCGAGCCGCTCCGCGGTCTCGTCACGCACCGTCGGTGGCGTATGTTTGGTCACGCGCCCCCACCGACACCCCAGTACAAGCTGCCATGACCGCCTACTTTGCACCGGGACAACGCTGCCAGTGGTGCTCCACCGCGACCTCCAATTCGTCGGCCGGTCACTGCTCACCACCGAAGACCTCGACGTCATACACATCACGGCCCTAGATCGAGGCGGGTGGAAGTGCCTGACCGAGAAGATCACGATGACGAGCCTCGACCGCCGATCGCCCCCCACGACTACTGACACGGATATGAATGTAGCGATTTAGGCCACCTCCCGACCAAGAACCCGCGCCGCCGCTGGCAAGCGCGGACCGACACCCTCACCCTGGAATTTGCTGCTATTCGTCTGTAAGGAGAAAGATGCTGCCAGTCTCGAATTTACGTATGCGAAATCTGTACCCCTAAAGGTTAAGCTAACGCGAAACACGTATCGAAGATTATGGTGTGCTACAGGTAGTTTTGTCCAATAATTATCAATATCCAAAATACTGCATTTTGATTGGCTAAATTTATATTTTCGCGCCCGCGCGAAGAATCAAAATAACGAGAGCATCCAAATAAAAAAATGAGACGCAGATCGTATCCAATTTCGATGAAGCTCGAGCCATTAAGTCTCCTAGAGACGATGTCGTGTCGCGAGGTAGCCAAAGCACTCGAGGTGCCAAGACGTACAGGCCGAAGCTGGCACCAGCTGCGTCATGTGCTGCTGGCCATCGAAGGAGACAAGAAACGAAAAAAGGTAGAACCAGGAGGTAGGTATGAGGAGTTCCCAGACCCACCTGGTCTCATTGACTTCTTAAACTACATTCGTGACCATGAACGGGCACTAACAACTACTCACATGATCACATGGATCAAGTTCAACCAGAGAGATTGGCTCCTGGGCTACCTCGCAACAAAAATACCACAACCGCATACAACTCGCTGCTCCGGCGGTTCCAGCGCTTTTGCCAGCGCCATGGATTCTCTCGCCAACGCCAAACTAAAAGCAAGCTTAAACAAAGCGTCCTCAACGAGACTCACCAGCAATTCGCTGCTGACTTTCACCGCGAATATGCCTCCTACGACAAGAATTGTGTGTACAACGTTGACGAAACTGGGATGTACTATGACCTCCCTCCGACGTACATTTGGGCTGTCAAGGGTGGCAGTTCGAAGATATCCTGCGTCGAAAGCACTCCATGCGAATGACAGGTGTCCTCACGGTCACACCTGACGGCGGCAAGCTTTCTCTCATGATTATTATGAAGGGCAAGCCCGGCGGTCGCATTAAGACGGAAGAATTCCCATCCTTTCCCGCTGTCACTACTACGCTGTTCAGGACAATGCCTGGATGGACAGTCCAGTCTGGGCACAGTACCTTCGTGACGTCTTGGGCGAGCGCATCGAGGGCCCGTCTGTCGTTCTTGTGGACAATTTCGATGCTCATGTGTCCGGTGAGTCACACAAGATCATGTATGACGAATTGGGTACGCACTTGTGCCCTCTGCCCCCGAACTCAACGTCCGTCTGCCAGCCTCTTGACGTCGGCGTGATGGGTCCATTCAAGAGGAGCCTTCAAAACCTGTGGCTTTATGAGGAACAAGTGGTTGGAGACGATGAGGATCCCTACTCTCTTTCGGCGAAACAAAAGCGAATGGCCATGGTGAAACGTGCGGTTGCTGCCTGCGACTTGGTCACTGAAGACATCATTCGCCAATGCTTTGCAAAGGCCATCCCACAATAAATGGTTGTAATTCGATGTATTTTTGCAAATTTATTTTACATACTAAACCAAGGTAATTATGAAGTTTTTACCAAAAAAGTCGACGTGCCCGCGACTCGAACCCGGGGCTCACTCAAGACACACAACGTGTTTTACCACTGCGCTATCGCCACAAACGCTTACGCTTACAACGTGACCATTGTATCAAATAAAGAAAAGTTCGAACGTCCTGTATCTTCTAATGAGCTCTACGTTACACTTTGTCTCTTTAGTGAAAGCTCAATATTTGAATCTACGAGAGTTTCATAATTTTACTACCTCATGAAACAATTATAATTACAATCGTCATCTCTCATTGGCTATAATTCTGGTCGAACTTCGAAGTACATGAGTCATCCTCAGCTTGAAGTCAAGGTGGGCGTTGCATTCTGTCGTTCCCAGTATTATTTCATGTTATTATG